AAGCAATTGCAAAAACACATTCATCTGCATTGTGTAACACACGTCTGTGCATGTGCAAGCTGAGCATGAGATGTGAGGAATGTAAAAGGAGACGACTGTGTGTGTATGCGTGCATCTAAGTATACAAGAAAGATACATGCATGAATGAAGGGTGTATATGTGTTGATTAAAGCCTGTGGTCAGCTGCAAAACAGAGCATTCAAGCACATTGTTTTATGTAACTTTTTTCACTAGATTTTTTACCTCAATAAGAAGAAATTGCTACACGCTTCTAATATGAACAATTCAGACTGTGCAAACTTGACAGGATGTTACAAAAGTGAAGCATAAGCAGATATTTAAAGTTTTTGCATCATAAAAAGGCAGTAGTCAACCGTGTGGGAACTGAAAGAGTCTCTTGATAAATCCTGATGCAAAATGGGGACCATCCTTGTCCAAGGGCACCATGTCAAAGTCCTCAAAGGAAATCTCTAATATCCTCTCAGCCTGCTCTCTCCCTGCCCGGGCGTGTTTGCACACCTCGTCTCTCAGGACTGCTGGAGGCTAAAAGAAAAACTGCAGGTTTTCATTTGTTTCGGTGCCATGTCATACTCAGTATGCAGTTCCTGGGGCAACAATAGTACAACTCACCAAAGGGGCCACACTAGATAAATGGGCAGGGGTAAAGGCTGAGCAACTACAAACGATATGCTCTTGCTTTGCACCACTGGGAGGCAGTAGTGATTTTTACCTGGCCGTCTGCTTGTTCTCAACATGCAGACAGGGAATTGCAAAACTGTTCTGAAGCAAATGTTTTTCTCTGCATGTCTGTCTGTGATGCATGAGTGCTGTATGAATCATGACATGTGTATCTGTCAGCTGGTTTGTATGTCCTCACTGATTTGATTCATTTTTGGCAGAAAAAGAAATATTGCAGTCTTATTATGTCTCCCAGTTATAAACTTCTGGCGTAGTTAAATTATAGTTTATGAGGTGATTTGTTTCTAAATGCATTGTGATTCCATTTTACTAATAATAATAAAAAGAAATTCAGGTTATCATTTTCTGTGGGAAATATATTCATCTGTGACATTTTTATATAAGCAGGAGAAGCACAGGTGTTACTGATAATTAATTGTGGCGTCATTCCTTTCAGATGTACCAGTTTCAGGGTCCTGGTACTAAACATGCTGACTCAGTAGCATGCTTACTGGGACACTTAATGAAACACAGTCATTGCTAATGTTACCAGCTGCATCTGTGCTTCTTCTGCTGTAAAAGTCAAAACATCTGCCTATAAATGTAGGCTTTGAAAAAATCTTGTAACATACTGTACATTCCTGACACCAGTCCACATGAATGACACATAAATCTTGCAGCTATATTTTTTATTGACTATTTCTTCATCAGTTATAATTATGACCCGCCTAGAAAGCAGCATCTACCTCCTGCAGCTTCTCCAGATGTACCTCTCCATTCCATCTTGACTTTTCTACTCAATCACAAGACAGTCATGAGCTCCATTTACTAAACCTTAACCTCAGTGATCGTGCAGTCAGCTGAAAAGGTCACTGCTACTTATGAATATCTCATGACATGAGAAATGAGGAAGATATGACAGGTGACATCTGGTTTCCTTATCTGATACCAAGAGAAATGAAGAGGGCAGGTGATACATCCCAAAACTAAATGTTATTTATGATGGATGAGATGTAATATTAATTAATATTAATATTATAGTATATATTCATATGAAGAGATCTCATAGGTCTGATATAAAAAGATAAGTAAGTAAGATAAAAATGTATTTTGTTCTTTTCCTCAAAATGTGCTTCAGTTTTTAGTTTCTTCTCCACTTTAACTTTGGTCTAAATCTTTCATTGAGATTATTTACTTCACTGGAATATATTCAGATATGTATTTCTGGCAAAGACAAGTGGAAAACAGTGGATATAAACCCCAAAACCTCATAAAATAGTCCCAAATGGAAAAGATCACAGATCACAGTCTATCCATGGGAACCAGAGGTTTACAGCTCTAACAGGCCCCGGCACCTGTTTTTTTTTTTTAATTCTTCTTTTTTTTCTCCCTCCCTCTTTCCACCCCCTCGTACATGACTAAGTCTTGGGGCTGCACTGGGATTTACAGATGTTCTGTGTTGGGAATCTGGGTAAAAGGTCAGCATGCCGGCTATAGATGGGAGCAGCCATTTTGGGAAATTGAATAAGCAGCTGTGGCGAGGTGTGGATCCAGTGATGATCAGTAACATATGACTGTACGGCTTTGTGAGTTCGAATGAGAAGACAGATTCCTGTAAGCTCTGTACGTTATTGTAGACGTTATACAAATAAATGGAGGTTATTTATTCCATTTTTATATAATACATATACATATACATTTTTTGACCCAGGTAATTTCTTTACATAGCAGCCTCAGATTTTATATACAAAACATATGAGCTTACAAAATAGCATGTTTATAATAATGGAACTTCCCTTTCCTCAGGTACAACATTAAAATGCTGCTTACATCTAAATACCACCGTAATAATAATCCAATATAATACATTCTAAAAGTGACTATTATGCATGTGACATATAACAGCTTGTCCAATTATTATGCAATTCTGTCTTTAGGTCATGATGGAAACCAGCATGAGTCATCCTACAATTACAGTATGATTACAATATCAAGCAAAACTGGATTTCTCCCGGACAGTTTGAAACATGCCAACTGCCATTTTAAATACCTACAAAACAACCAGCTCAGAGGGATCTTTAAATTGAATCCTCCGTTTGCCTGATATGACACAGACATCCGCACAAAAAGCCAAAAATGAAGGCCTGCTGTTTTCTTTTACACCTTTACTGTAAGCTCCACTCACATAACTGCCAAGTACTGTAAGGACCCAGAAGATTGCAACAAGGCAAAAATGTACATTCTTTACATGTACAATCATGATGATCATGTACCACGCGGCCATCAAGTTCAAACATTACTATGTTTGCCAGAGGACGCGAGTGTCTTTTCCAGATGTCATGCTCATGCTTGTACCTACCACAGACAGATGCCTTTCAACCACTTAGCCTTTCCTTCACCTGTGAAAAAAGATAGTCCTGCTGTACTGTAACTGAAATAATATTAATCATCACCGCAGTGAATACACAAGTCTGTCAGTTTTACCAGACAAAAGCAAATCTGTCAGCATCAGTGTTCCAATTAAAAGGAAAAGATTACTCAAAGTTGAATTGGAAACACGTATTTTTAACTGGAACACAGCAGTCTATGGTCATCCTTGTAGAAACCCTTCTCTCTGCCAAGGATTTGTGGGGAAATAATGCATCTTTGTTAGATTCCAGACACACAAGTGAGGGCCCTGTAATTCCTCTGCACTCAGTTTCCCCTCTCAGCACCGTCAGCAGTCTCCCAGTTACCTTTCACCTACTTAGTCTGAGCTGCAGACAGGAGAGGGTTAAACCAGCTCCTTCATTGTGATCTGGCCCCGGATCACATACGGCCTGCGAGCTCCCTGGCGGAGGTTGTTAAAAAAAAAACCTATGGCCCATAATTTAGGCATTCTCTGTGCTGTGAACTTTCCCCTAATTCTCACAGCCCTGACAGCCTCCCAGCAGCAAATGACGTGCTCGGCGGTGTCACTGACTTCATTCATTCCCCACATTATCCCCAGGAAGATTGTGAAGAAATCCTGATAAACTGTTTCTACAATAGCTGTTATAAATATTAAATTGTGATATCATCTATCTATGCCAGTCACATAACATGACAACAGTTGTGTTTTATTCAGTGGAGTACGCTTCACATTTTTAAGGATAACAGGATTGTAATCAGGCTAATTAAGTTTAAGAGAAATTAAGGATTAAAGAAATCCTCCCCTTCCATGACAGGAAGCCAGGCTGTTTTTTTTTTTGTTTTTTTTTAAAGCTTTCTAGTTGTAAGGTTAGCATATTATACAGTGAAGACTGTTTATTTTTTGCTTTGCAGATCAACTAATTTTCCTTTTACCTGAATTCTTCCTCAGTCTTGTGAGAAAAAGATGTAAGATTTAATGTGCAGTTAATAATAGACCTTTTTCACAGCAGCTATTTTGACATGAAATAGTAAGGTAAATACAGGTATTACCAATTACTAATTAAGGTTCTGTTCCATTCAGGTAAAACAGAGTCAGGCTGCACGTTGACTGACTGGAAATGGATACAGATTTGAATTACATTAATTCACAAATTACTACTTTTATTCATCCAATTAATTCCAGTAAGGTGTGCTATACAAGGCAGCACATGATCCTAATAGGCAAAGAGAGTATAGAGAGCCACAGAAAATAGAGGTATAGCAAGATTCATGGACAGACATACTGACTTCATCTTGAAACAATAAAGTGAGGTTACAGGACAGGGAATACATACAGTTATTCCCTTCAGGACTGTGTGAATTAATGACATGACCCCAGTCCTCTAAGTCCACTATTTAAAGGTCTGGGCTTCATCTTTCATTGGGATCAGTGTGTGTGGTCCACTTACAGTCCAGTCCAGTTTACACTAAATTACTTTAGCTGGTTGTTAAAAATGACCTGTTAAACTGACAATGAATATTGAATTCTCCAGACAGGCGCATTCTCTATTTTATGAGCTTAATCTGGGTTATTTTATAATCATCATCAACAAATTTCAGGGTGTTCCTGAGCTAATGGATGGATTACCTCTCTCATTCAGAAATATTACACTAGTGTTAATTCTTTACAGTAAAGGAATACATTTGTTTCACAGCGGGGGATATCAAGTGTTTAGTTTTAGTAGATAATGTAGTCCCTGTCTCCCACAGTGCTGAGATGAAAGCCTATCTTTTTGTTATATCATGTCCCTCCTCCGCCTCTGACATGAATAGTGAACAGAGAGGTGGAGGAGGGACAGAAACCTGAGAGTAACTGCACCCCTCCCTCTCCTCAGCTGGCCAATGGCAGGCTGCCTACAGCTTAGACTTGAGGGCTGTGAAACTATATAACAGTAGTGCTGTCACTGTTCAGCCGGGAGCTTGAGCTCGCAAATTGCAAGTCAAGAAGACAGGACAGGACACTGCACAGTTCTGCAACAGGAGGACACCATTTAAATCAACATCTCAACACTTTTAGGACATCGGCAGCAATGAAGACAACACTGGCAACTCTGACTCTCTGCCTGGTGGTGCTCATGGCCACAGGTTTTCCATTCGAGAGGAAAGGGGGCTCGCCCTCCAGCAGCGCTGCCAAGGAGAAGCGTGTACAGTATGCAGCATGGGATGATGTAAATGTCATTGCCCATGGCCTGCTGCAACTGGGCCAGGGGCTGAAGGAGCATGTGGACAAAACCAAAGTCCAGATGAGGGACATTTCCAGCAAGCTGAAGGTCTTCAATCGCACAGTGACCGAACTGGGGAAAGAAAGCCAGAGGCTGCGAGTGGAGGGGGAGGCCCTGAAGGCTCGGGCCCACGGGCTGGAGGACAGAGAGGGGCAGGTGCTGAATGTCACGGCCGAGCTGAGGGAGAAGGCGGAGGAGATGCAGCAGGAGAGGAGGACGGTGAGCGAGAGGATGAGCCGGCTGGAGGAGAGGGTGGACAGCATGCTGCAGGGAGACGCGGTGCTTCCTGACACTGGTGCCAAGAATAACAGTGATGCTCGCAACATCCAGGTGAGAATGCAAGAGTTTCTGTCTTTGGTTTCTGGTGATAATAATTTGTTTAGGAAGGCAGAAGGATGGGGGAAGCAACATAAGATGAGTGACATGAGTTAGTTTGGGAGGGAAATGAAATGAGGCTTTCCAGTGCATGGAAAACATTATTAAAATCCTCCTTACTTACAGAGATCACCATAAAGCCCCACACAGTACAACATTTTGTTATACTGGAGGTGGTTAAAGGGACTCAAACTGGTGGACGTACGTATGCATGAGCAGTTGGCTTTCACGGTGTGGCTTTTTTTCTCCTGAGCTCAAAGGCACTAAATCAAAATGCAGGGCAAGCAAAGGGTGGGTGGATGGGCGTAGTAGAGTGGAGGGGGGTCGGTTAACAAGCCTGCACGGAATGGAGGGGGAGCGTGCAGTACGTGCAGGGAAACACTAAATGCTTCCAGACAAAGAGATCTGCACGCATCAGCTGCAAGAATGTGTGAATAATTCTACACAGCTGTGACATTTTACAACCTGGAGAGTATTCGGCCATATGACACAGTGGAAGGGGCTTATGGGAGTTTCATTGCGGGCCTACGCTTACAGAGCGGTACATGAGCCTGGAAGGCTTTGTAGTGGGATGGAAAATCCCGCGTATGACTGAGTTACATAACCACACCACAGTCGGTTGGAAAGAACAAATGCTTGTCACTGAGGGGTGGAAATATGTCTGGGTACATATCTCATGCTTCTCAATAAAACCCCGCAGGCGGCTCGTTTCTTGTGTTAATTCTGGTGTTCATTTGGTGATGTCTTCTAAAGTTGGGCATATTTTACGCACAGGCACGGTGTAGAATAAAGTTTATGAAAGGCTAAAAATGTGGCATCTTCGTGTTCTTTTTTTCTGTCAGATGATGCTGGAGGCTCAGAACAGACGTATTGATGATCTGATGGAGCGGATCAGGCTCCAGCAGGAAAAGCTTGACAAGCAGAATGTGCGCATCAGGACCCTGCAAAGCCAGGTGAGGAAGCGTTACAATTACGCATACAGACGTTTCTGCATCACATATCAGAGCCAACAACATTGTGTGTTACTTTCTTATTTTGTCCTATATTCATCATTGACTCGTAACTTTTCCAGGTCCAACAGTCACGACAGAGAACCGCGTCGCCGCGGGACGCCAACGCCGACGGCTCAGTGCAAAGTGGCGTCGCGGAGCAACGCGACTCACCAGTCGGTAAGTAAAGCCAAAAGGCGTGCAAAATCCTCCCTTGGCACTGTCTTAAGTCGACTGGACAAAATCTGACGCCAAATGTGGCAGGCCATCTGTTAAGTCAGGCTACAAAGACGCTTAAATCACGAGCAATTAAAATCAAGGAATCTAATCAATTTGGGACACGCTTCTCTGCTCAGCGTGACGCCAGAAATATCAACTGGTGGGTTTTTTTTTTTTTTTGAAGCTGTGCCTTTTAGCCTGTGAAATCCCATTGACACCATTCAGCTAATACAGGATGATTTAACTCAGTGATAAAATATGGTTAATAAAATGTAAATTAGGCCTCCTACTTTTAGGAACTATAAACTAATATATATATCCTACATTTTATTTAAGATAAGATGGACTGCATTGATCCCACACTGGTAAACTTCATTAGGCAGCCTTATTTCAATAATAAATACATAAAGTACTGGCAGAGATAAAAGGGGGAAGTTAGAACTGTCAGAATAAGGCTCAGTTTAGTCAATGACCCCATACTGGGTCTTACAGTGATTGTAAAAGCCAGTAAATGATGGCCTCAGTGTGCAGCCATGCCAAGCAGCTGCTGCTCCTTTCTGAACTGAACTGTGACTGGACCAGCAGTCACAATGAACGCTTTCATCCAGACTGTACTGAACTGGATACACACCAACTGGGGAAGAGTTGAGACACACTTTTTCAGCTTTCTCACCCACCACATTTTGGTCTCACTTAGGGTCTGTTTAGCCTCTAAAGAGGATGCGAGGGATGATGAGAGGACATGCTGAATAAATTAGAAATCCATGCATATTGAAACAGTCGATATTGAAACAGGCTGCTTGTAATTTCCTCTCTGTTTGTAATTTCCCCTCTGTGGGACTAATAAAGGCTTATCTTATCTTATCTTATCTTATTATAATCATAGCTGAGTAAAACGAACAAATTGTAGTGAATTTAATGTCAAACCTATGTTTCTGATGGCCATAGATGAGAATTAGGTGAAAGGTGAACATGGCTGAGGCAACAGTTGAGATCAGTCAGCTAATACAAATCACAATAACACCTCAGAACTCTGACATCAGCAGGATTTAAGGAACGAGGATAATAGAAACAAGTTTCTCTGGCAAGGTTTCAACTGGGGGAAAGTTCGCTGGTCTCTGAGAGCGTTCAGTCAGGGTCACACAGCTCAACAGGATTACTCACACTGATCGTTTCTGTTGTTTTGGGGGGGCTTTGTACAAATCTAGCATGCAACGTTCCTCAGATTACTGTCCTTGTGCCTGAGCCAAAAAAAAAAAAAACTAAATGAGGCAAAAATGGGAAAAGGCAGTCTATATTTATCTGTGAACTTTGTACAGATATCCTCCACTGTTTGGAAGACACACCTCCTCCCCTTCTTAAGACATCCCACCTTTCTGTGTAAAACAAACATTTGTACATCCCTCAAGAATGAGCAACCTTTCCCCTAGATCTGTCAGGAGTCAGACATCCTCTCCTCTCCTCCCCCATCCCTACACACAATCCCCCTACCTCCTCCTTCTCTCCCATTGTAATGAATACGAAGTGTGCCAAAGTTCAGGAGAACCCCTGACCCTGAGGCAGACTACAGCCACAACTGGCCACCAAGAGTTCATGCCTATTGAGAGAAGGTCATTACACACAAATTAGGTTTTGTTGTTCTGCGGTCAGCTGGTGCGCTCACATTGAAACAATATGCAGACAAATATCCAACAAAAAAAATCAAATAAATAAGAAAAATAACACCTTATTGAATTGTTTTGTTGTGTAAAGACATTAAATAGCATCATGTGGTGATGCCATCCATGATAAAAAGGATTACTGAAGGGGGGCTATTAGTTGGGCACATGACTGCTCCATTTGGCTCCGGAGTCCCCTGCTTTGTGTTACTGCCTTCTCCGATATCCCTTTATAGCAACTATTCCCCCCCTAACTCCCCTCATGCACCCTTTGATCACTCCCCATGCATGCACCAGCCATGCACCACTGCGTCACCAACTGGCTGCTGTGCACGTGAGGGAGGTATGACAAGCCAGAAGGGAGGGGGATAAGAGACAGTGGGGGGAAAAGGAGGTTGAGGAATGTTAAGGTTAGTTGTGTGCAACTCAATAGCAGAAGACCAAGCAGCCGTATAGAGGGAAGTCTGCTTGGGAACTGGGAGAAAGGTCATATTTATAACTGAAGTTCAGACAGAAGTTCTCACTCACCCTTTCCCTCTTGTTGTGGCTAGATCAAAGGCTCTAGGTTTATATGTTCAGACCCACTGATAGGCTCACTCATTACGATAGTTGTATTTGCAGACACACAGCTCTTACGGCGCAGAGAAACGTGTGGCTGAGAGTTTCCCCAACTGTGAATTACCTACTTATGAATGCTGGGAAGAGTAAACAAGTCACAATTCCTTCATTAAAATACTACACATGCCAGAATTATATCTAAAATTTCAAAAAAACAGGAAACACGCAAAACAAACAAGACAATTCTATGACTTTAGCAGTAGTGTACTGTAAAGGTGATCATACTGTTTGGATTGTGGGCCTTTGTACAGAGCGGTTTGTCTTAACATTTTCTTTTTCTTTTCTTCTTTGTTCTTTTTCTAGAGATGCCATCAGACTGTCATGAGCTGTTTCTGAGAGGTGAGACCACCAGCGGGGTCTATACCATCCAGCCAATGAATGCAGAGCCCTTTGAAGTCTTCTGTGAGATGACAGCTGGTAAGTGGAAAACCTCTTCCCCTTTATGTCCTGCTCACTGAAGGTTGCCCCACAATTGCTAACTGCTTAGGCAATCGATCTTAAACAGAAGAATAGTTCAAAGTCCCCAAACTTGACAAAAAGCTGCTGTTTTCGTTGATACAACTTTTCCTGATCAGTCTTTTCCTGTCTTTCTGTTTAGATGGAGGATGGACAGTGATCCAAAGGCGCCAAGATGGCTCAGTTGACTTTGACCAGCTATGGCAGGCCTATGAGAAAGGCTTTGGCAGCCTGAATGGTAAATGCTCTTTTGACTTTGATCTTACTCTCACTAACTGCAAAACCGGACTGGACAGGTGCTAGCTGGCCTGGCAAGGGTCAGATTAGTCACAGCATTACTGTCTTTTATGAGCACTGCATGAGAGGGCAGGGGCCCCAAAGCACCTTATCACCGATGAGCTTGGAACTGATCAAAGGCAGACAGGTTTCTCACCATTTCTCTTCTTGTCTTCTTTTCTAGGGGAGTTCTGGTTGGGTCTAGAAAAGATCCACTCCATTGCTAAAGATGGTGGCTATATACTCAACATCAAGCTCTCTGACTGGGGTAGTGACGTGGCAGCTATCCGCCTCCCCTTCCATCTGGGCGGTGAGGAAACCAAGTACTCGCTCCAGATTCAGAAGGCCGATGATTTCAGCACCTTGGAGAGTTCCCTGGGGACGGACGCCACCTCTGGCCTGCCCTTTTCCACCCGCGACCAAGACAACGACCAGAAAATTGACACCAACTGCGCCAAGCACCTCTCAGGTAATGACAACCACAATGACAAATGCCTCCAGTTTCCAATCTTGGGATACTTGAACTAGTGCCTAACCTGACCTCGTCATTTGTTCTCCTAGGTGGTTGGTGGTTCAGCAACTGTGGTCGCTCCAACCTAAACGGTAGATACTTCCAGAGCCCTCCTCCCAAGCAGCGGCACCAGAGGAAGCAGGGTATCTTCTGGAAGACCTGGAGGGGTCGCTACTACCCTCTGAAGAACAGCATGATGATGATTGCCCCTGCTGCCATCGAAAATAAGTCATAAAGAATAGAAAGAGACAGAATGAAAAAGTTGACACAAAACAAAGGGGTTGAAAGAAGTAGATTTTGGACTATTCTTTCTTTTCTTGGTGCTTAGTTGATGAGGCAGAGGTTACCATTTTCCCTGGTTTTCTCCCTGCGAGGAGGACCTCATACCAGAGCCCAGGCCCTTGAAACAGGGGCAAAAAGAGCTCAAATTCAATGAGTTCCAGGTTTCCACTGCTCTGTCCTTTGAGATGATTGATGAAAACCTGCAGTGGAAAATGTTTCATATATTGTACCATCGCAGTTGATTCCTTCTGAATGGCATGAAGCAGGGGCCCCTAGTGAGGAGAGCGTCACAAAGCGAGTCCCGGCCTGTTCACTGTTCTGTAAGCCACACAGGATTCCCAACAAGTCGAGACTCATCACCAGACATGTGGTGTCAAATGTGTTTGTGGGCTGTTGTTGCATTTGAATGGTTTGGTAGAGAGTAAACAGCAGTCAGCTCGAAAACAGCTTAAGAATTGCTCTTATTTTGTAAAAGATGCATGTAGGACTGAAATGCAGACCCATTGAGTAAGACTTTTAAACCAATGGTGTGGACCAAATGGTGACTTAATTAAAACAAAGAGTTATTTTCCACATGAACATGATGAGATTAGTGTTCAAACCCATTATGTAAAGTTATAAATCACTATAAACTAGCATTACCATGCAGAAACTGTGTTAAGACAGTAGCAGTTCGTGGGGCACTGAAAACCATTTCAGCCTTTTATACAGCATGTTTTCTGCTTGCAATTTTGAATCAAATCACCCATATTCTTCACTGACTTTTTCAGTGGAGGTTTTGATGATGTTAAGTCATGTTGACTTCTTTAAGATGACAGACATGGTTTTGTACATAGTGTATGAAGGAATGTCATCTGTCTTAAGAAATGTAACTGTTACTGATTTGTTGTGATATTATCTGTTGTCCTTGTGACTTGAGGGTTTGTGATTGTAGATGTTCCCTTTTCTTATTTAAATGCTGTAAATAATCAATATATATATTTCTGGTGCTGCCTGTTTGTAATTTATATTGACTTTGTTGTGTTTGCCAGTTGTAAAATTGTTTTTTAAGAGAAAATAACCATTGTTTGGTTATTATGAGCCAATAAAATTGACTTAAACTAATAATGTATGTGTATTATGTGGCACTTAATATAATCTATAATATATAATATCCTTAATAACAAAACTAAAACAAGAAAAAATACACGTATATTTCACAAACACAAATACAATAAATATGGCCACAACTAGAGCCAAGATAAGTGGATTCTCATTCTCATTCTCAAGCAGATATTTTATTCTTCATTCATCAGATCCAAGATAATATAACCTGAAATGGAAAAATGTTGCAGTTGCACGATTCATTTTTCATTACTCATGGAAAAAAAATACACATTTTATCAAGAAATCACTAGTTCAAATTGTTCACTCTTCGCAGATTGTTGCTGATTGAATTTAACTGAACTGAATAATTTAACCAAACCTATCTAGAGAGACATTTTCTTTGGAAACCACCTTCAGGCCCAAAGTCATACAGTAGACCTAAACCATCTCTATGAGCCCCACGTGGCAAGTCTCTTGCATCTTAAAGATTTTAGCAGCTTAATCACATCAGGAGCTTCGAGGTGTCAGCTTTAATTTCTCATCGCACCACTTTCTGCTTCCTTGTTAGGCTTACTGTTAATGTGCTTCCTCCATACTGATCCTTCCAGCACTGGTTCAGGATCAACCCCTGTAACAGCTGATCTGATGAGAGTGCTCCGAACTGACCTCTCCCTTCAGGGTACTGGCGAAAGTCAGTGCCTGGCTGTCACACAGTAGGTGGGACTCCACCTGTTACCTGCAATGTAGAGCAGGTATAGCAGGATACTTACTTTTTTTTTTTAATACATACCAACTATCCCATATAATATACATTGTGGTAGTGAATAATTTGCTTTCGTGCTGAGATGGGTCGATTGATACGACACTGATGTTTGCACAGTAGCTAGTTAAATATGAAGCTGCATGCAGCAGCTGCTTAGCTTGTCTTTAAGTGTGGAAATGAGGGAACAGCTAGCCTGGCTCTGTCCAAAAGTTAAAAACAGAACACAGCAACCATAAAGCTCTACTTAATCCGTGTAAAAACAAGGAGTTCCGGTTATATGGGGGTCATGTTTGTCCCAGCTTTGTTGTGGCTGGGAACAGTTGCCAGGCAACCAATAGAACCTCTAGAAAGTCACCGGCACTGCATCCGGCCAAAAAATAGTCCTGTACCAAACCTCCATTAACAATTTTAGTCTTTGTGGAAACAAAGGGCATTTAGTGAGCGATAGAGGTGCTGGTAGCAAGCTTTTTTTAAAATGACAGTGGTATCTGTTTTCTCATCTCTCTCCAACAAGCAATCTAGCATACTTGCAAGTTTTATGATGCCAAACCTTTATATCCAGCTCTGCAATGATCTGCTTGCTGGTGATTCATACTGCGTATACTTTAAATAGGGGCAGCAGATTCCTTTATTTAATCTCTAATCAGATCAAGGTTAGGCATCAGTCACCTATGAGGAGTACCCTATTATTAAAAGGTTACTATAGCAACAGTGCTGTCCACAAAAACCTCTGCTGTTTCACTTGAGCATGGTTTGGAGTGCTTGAAATCCCTTGTTGGGTTTTTGCTCGGGTGCAGCTCTGATGTGAAGCAGGAGAGGGGGAGAACATGAGACGAGGGCTATAATGAAGGGTCAGAGTGGGAACTTAGTATGGGAAAACACTTGAGATGAGAGCGTTTCCAAATATGATAGCCTGGTTGCATCCTACAAAACATGAAACAGAACACATGCTGCAACTATAACATGCCTAACTTGTAACTGCTTGAATAAAAAGACTGCAGTAAAAGACAGCATGTGACTGATTCATACATTTATTCATTATCATGTACAAATTGTATTCCGGTGGTACAAAGCTGTTGTAAGACTCCAGTACTCACCCTCCTGTTGTCTTTATTGCAGTAAAAAAAGGAAATACCAGCATGATCAAGAGTCAAGAGGTACTTTGGCAAATATAAATTATGTGTTAAGAAGGCAAGCAGACATCTTGAGCAATGTAATATGAGGGGAGAAAACGGCGCCAAAATATCAATGAGCGGCTTCTCTCAGCACTCATTAAAAAATAATAAAAATCCATAAAATGTTTTATTTTAAACGACACACACTTAAAACAAGTGGACAGAGGAAGAGTCTCGTTTTTTTCTTCCTTTCTTCATTACACAAACTGCAAAGTTCAGACTCACAGTATGTAGGGATATTGCAATTCTGTGTTAGTGTGCTTCTGAGTGTTCTGAGTATTTACTGATAAACTGTATTTTACACATGTATGTATGTATAGTGTGGGAGCTCATGTCTGCGAATATGTGTATATATTCCATTTCATATCCGTGAACTGTAACCCCGTTCCTACCACTGACTTGAGTGAATAAAAAGGTGGAATAAGCGGGAAAACAACACAATAACATTTGGCAAAAACCATCATTGTTGTGGAGATGAGGATGTGGGTGAGCTATGAGTCAATGTGACACAGCCTGCAAATATTTCTCCATATGTCCTTGTCTTTGTTCAGCTTTCAGGGTGAGACACCACATATCTGTGCTCGTAAACCATACCCCAGACTGTACACGGGGGGGAGGGCATGGAGGAGACAGAGCGAGCAAGCGAGTAACAGAACAAGAGACAGAGAGAGCAAAAGAGGGGAAGTATAATGGAGAAGTTACATGACTAGTTCACAGGAGAGAGTGGCTAGTGGCTGTAGAGTGTCTGATAGTCTCTCAGTGACGGTGTGAACAGTTGGAGATGGGGTTGGGGTGGGGAGGTCAGGGAGACTAAAGGTGGGCGGTGAGCTGGAAGGGTAAAGGAGGACAGAGGGGAAACTAGACTTCACTTCTCCCCCGTTGTCTCATTTCAGAGGTATTGTTGTAGAAAGTGCAGCAGCATTATCTCGTAGTGCTCTCCAGACTCAGGGCAGCGAATACTGTGTCGCTCGTTGGGGTATACCTGGAAAATTGAAACAGGACAACAAAATGAGTCTCCGATGTGTACTATATGTCTGTATCCCCTGAAATCTGTTTTAGAAAAGTGTTAAAATATCATCATGAGTATGATTCATCTGTTGTATTCTACTACCATTATACATTATAGGGGTACCCAATATAGCAAACACATGGAGCTCAGACATCATCAAGACATATTTGCTGAAATGTAACAATTATGTCAACCTACTGTGAAAAGACTTCACATGGCAACTTCAGAAAGATGTGTCAGTGTGAGGAATAAGGGTTGTGATGCTAACCTGAAGCTGGTAGGGCTTCCCAGCACGGATTATCTGTGACACTAGGAAATTGGTGTGGAAAAAGTGCACATTTTCATCTAGAAATCCATGGAGAATCAGCAAACGGTTGGGCCTGGAATGACACGGTTACACGGTTACAGTACAGCACGTAACAATATAATAGGCTTCCGTGCAATAGTAAGACATACAGTTTAGTTCCTGAAATAACACGTTGCCAAAGAGTGAAACATTCCTTCACGGATCCAAAGAAATTCTCCCCTAGTTCTGCTTCTGATCTATGAGCAGTGCTCCAACATGCCGTTCGCGAGGCCCTCAGGGATTCCTCAGTCCCTAAACACAGAGGCTTGACCACCTCAATTCCTCTTTGCAGATTTTAATAACTGCTTGACAACAGAGATCTGGTTGTTTGCATTTTCACGTAGCAATAAAACAACATGAAATCCTCAAAAAAAAAAATAGCCTCACAGACATGTACACATTTTCTTAAAGTATTACTTCCAGTTCAAAAGGTATTTTAGGTCAAGGATGAGAATGACCCCCCTACCTAACCATATGTTAAATTAGTTGCAATAATACCTGGAATATAGATAAATATAGAGGTTTCAAGCACTAAATTCCACACTAACAGGCACTATGGCCTACATGTTTAACTGTGTGTACTTACTCGCTGGGCAACTTGTCCACATGCAGGGCCACAGAGCCTTCCTCGTAGCCCTGCTGGTTGTTTTCAGGCACATCCATGTAACGCTCTGTGTAGCCTGTGTCGTAGGCCATCCACACAGTCACCGGGGCGCCTGCAATAGCCAACTGGCAAGGAAGCACAATGTAGTCAGGTGGAAAAGAGTGTAAAATTAAAAAATAACAAAAAACTGTATCTCACTGGGGAAAGGTGTCACTTTGCTCACAGAACAACTCAAAATATATATAATACAGGAGGGGGGAGGCGCTTTGGATTTACTGTATAGGTTGCTGGAAAATGTTGAATTAGTTTCAACATTTCTAAAGTATATTCTGATGTTATGACTCAATTGGTTACACATTTTGAACAAAAGAAAAAGTAAACTCATTCCCTCTGGTACAGGAACCTATCTGCAGATATCCTTACTGACTGAAGACTGTTAGCCAACACATTGTACAACACAGACACCATGTGGCTGTAAGTGACAACTACATCATAAGTTCAGTTTTGAGACTTCATACAGGAATTAAGCAATTCATTCTAATTAAAGTTATTTACATAATCATACAAGATACAAACTATTGAGGATGCTCACTGTTTGAAAGTATGTGTATGGTTTAAGGATAAAAGAAGGGCTGAAGAAGAAGAAGCCTCCTAACCTTGAAGACATTGGGTCGCTGAATGAGGCCCATGAGAGAGAGGAAACCACCATAGGACCAGCCGTGAATGGCGACACGGCTCAGGTCCACAAAGTTAAAGTTCTCTGCCACGTACTGCAGCCCTTCAACCTGGTCTTCAATCTCTACCTGACCCTGAAGAGAAAAGGGCAAATGGGAGCGTTATTTAATCTGGAAATTGTGCATCTTGTTTATGACATTCAATCATTTTTACATTGCCTTACAAGTTAGTTAAAATGTTTCTAATGAATTCATTGAATTATCGGACTCTTACTTTACCATTTTGTTTTTCAGTGCTCCTTCAAATTCAAGGCCCCTCTGACAGGAACCCCTCCCGTCAATGACAACCACAGCGTAGCCCAGAGAGGCCAGCGTGTTCAGACGGAGGTACTTCATCCCCTTGAAGGAGTTGTTCACCAGCTGCACCTGATTACACATACACATCAAAATGTTCTCAATGTTTCTATCATTCAGTAATACACGTCCAAAGCAACATTATGTGAACACAAAAATATGATGATATCACAGACCGAAAATATATCCACAAACCTGCGGGCCTCCATACACGAAGAGAACAGTTGGGTGTTTCCTGCCAGGCTGCAGGTTGTGAGGCTTGTACACCATCCCATAAAGCTGGAAGCCTGACTTCCCAGGAAAGTCAAAAATCTCAGGTGGATTGTAATCTCCTGGGCAACCTGGAAGACACATAAACACATGTGGTCATTAGTTAAGTATGTTCCTAAATCAGGGATTTTGTGATTCAACTCCTATTGTAACTTGACCTAAAACAAAGGGCAAAAAACATACATTAAAGTGCATAAATTGCACAGTAGGTTGTATTTAGCGTATCAAATAAATGTTAAATTGATCTGGCATTAGATTGTGACACATTTTCTTTAATGATACTGATCAATACTGCAATAGGTCATGTTACAATTTTACAAGTTTAATGGGTAGCTGATAGTACCATCATGCCCAATAACTAATTAGGGTGTTATTATGTGACCCCTAAACTTTTGCCACAACAGAAACAAGAAATTCCTTCTCACTCCTGGTACTTTCAATGAATCATAAACGACAATTGGACACAGACGTAGAGCGCTCATGATGATGTTAAGTGTTTTTGCACCACATTATCTGATTACTGTCAGGACTGTCTGGAGGACGCCATTGCAGATCAAACTGACCGTCCTTGATCTAATCAAAGTCAGACCTCAACCCTCCCAGACAGACTATGCACTCAGTTCTATTGATTGTTCCTAAAATACAACCTTCACTTTTGGCCAGGCTGCTCTCTAACAGAAGCGGAGTGAGCCAGATTGTGTAAATACAAACTCTGCATATTGAGTGAATTGTAAAACTACTGTATGGTGGTCAGTCACGTTGCATCCCGTTTACCTGGTGATTCCATCATGCTGGCCCAGAACTCAGGTACCATGTGTAGTGGGTCACCTTCTGAGCTGGTCAGTTTGTAGACGTGAACACATGGAGGTGTACTCACGTTACTGTAGTGGCTGACAAAAAAGTCAAAGTTCTGCAGAGTGAGAGAGGGGAGAGAGGTGCAAACAAATTGAAATATAAAAACAATGATATACAAAAGGACAAGGAAGGAACAGAAAGGCTGAGGGAGGGGAAGCAATTGCTACACCACGTACTACAGGGAACTGTGTTACAAACCACAACATCTACAGCTACTGTCTGTGTAAAACACTTCTTATAGCTGGAGGACATTTATCCCATATACTACAGACTATCCAACTGATCCCTGGCTATGACATCTTTCCTCAGATTTCATTGTTCTTAAGCAGATAAACTGGTCTCTCTGATGTGACAAAAAACACCATTTGTGGTACCTCAGTAGTCACGTCTTGTGATTTAGATATTTTCATGGACATCCCTCATGTCCCCACAAATAATTTCCCCCTGGGATTATTAAAGTATTTCTGATTCTGATTCTGTTTCTGACATTGGTCATTTTCTCAAGAAAGTATTTCCACCATTACCATTTCCCTTACTGAAGCATTTATTTATTAAAATTTTTACTATGACTAGCAGCCATAAAAACACTGGTTAAGAAAGGAATATCTGTAAGCAACATTGTTTGATGGACAAGTTGTCATGATTATAGAAAGATGAACAGCTGCATGAGAATATAAACAGATGGGTTTACCTGACTAACAGAGCAGCTATGAGAGAAGCTGGGCTTGGTTAGCCTGACCACATCCCCTGGTGAGTCATAGCTGACCACATAGAGGTGGTGCTCCAGAGGAGTGTCTCTGGTGCCCTGGAAGTACACCAGCTTTGATGACTCATTCACCCAGATCTAGCAAGGAAGAGAAAAGAGAAGTTCATATAAACAGTTAAGTTATAAAGTACTGCAACAGTATATAAAGTATCGGCTCTGTAGTCCACCAAATTGGATTAAAATCTATTTATTCAGTTATTATTCCAGTTTTAACAGAGTTTGGGGGTGTTCGTATCCACATTGGGTGAGCAATGTAAAGTTCTTTAGAATTTATTTTATACATAGTTCCCCCAGTTAAAGGACAATACAGCAACTCAATTATCCTGAGGACTAGACTGAAAGCAGAAATCTCCTGAAGTAAAAAGAGTAGGGGGCTGCAGTACAGCCCTACAATATCACCAGGGAGAATATAAAAAAAAAAGTTCAAGATGTGAACACAGATTCCTCTCAGGTGGCTGATGTGGGATGTAAACGGGGTCGGACGGACCATTAAAGCTGAGAGTCAGTACTGTAACTCTGCCCTCGCCCTGAAATGCGCAGGCCTGTTGAATTTGAAAAAAAGTCAATGGAGCTGGAGTACAGAGTCAACACAACAAAATGTATGGAACTATACACATACTTTCTGTATTTTGTGTGTGTGTTTTCAACAATGTCTAACCTTGGAACCATGTCTTGCCAGCACTTCCCATTCTCCACTGGTCAGTGCAACCTCTTCCTTGATTGCACATTTGAAGTCTCCTGAAGAAAACAGATAACAGACTCAACAAACTCCGTAAAAAAAACAAAAAAACACTGACGTATTTGATAGGATTATTTAAAATAAATTCACAAGCATCTCTAAATCTCTTACCCTCCATGTGTTGGTAGTCCTCTGTCCAATGGTAGCAGCCTGGTTGTAACAGGGATGTGATTTTATACAGATGGCTGAAACCTGTTTTAGACTCATTTATCCAAATGAAAGTAAACTCATCTTCTGTTGTTTGAATAAATGGATAGAATATATCATGAACCTGCAGAAAGAGAAGAACAGTCAATCACTGAATCCTTACAGCAGAACAACCTTGAGTGAAACATGCAAGAAGACCTACATTAATCCACACGTCGGTGGTCTCTTCATAGATTATGTATGGCTGTGTGTTACTGGGCACAGCCTCCAGACTCTCCTGCCTCTGAGCTGTGTCATCTGTGACAGGGATGAAGAGGGCTGGAGGCAGCAGGACCAGCTGTAGTTTTCTCTGACTGCGGTCCAGAAGCACTGCCCAGCCACTAGGGGGGAACAGAGCAGAGAAAACTCAAAGGATTGCTTTACTACAGCAAGACTGGTTGATTATGGAAACAACTTCTCCAATGGAAACAAAAGAGATCACAAACGTAAGCATGGCACCCATTAAGATGACATCTAATATTATCTGTGTCCACATGTATCCAAAATTATGTCACAATATTAGAAGTTCCAGTACCAGACTGCACACTCACTATTTGCCGTCGCTTGTCCATCCTACTCTGGCAATGTATTCTGTCCCCGGAAACAAGGAGGTGAAGGGGATGGCCAGTTCTTTATCTTGCGTGCTCACAATCTGTAAATATAACCATACAAACACACAAAAAAATAAGAAAAACCTAATTATCATTTTGGAGAAGAAAAAAAAAAAAACAGATAGTAAAAGACTCACTCTT